TACTTTGTAAACAGTTAATGAGCATTATCAAACGCATAACATAGCAAGAGGTTGATTGGTTAATTGGCCGGGCAGATCGATTAGAGCGGGCAACCTGCACTTTCACAAAACGCCTGCACTTTAATGCATATTTTTGGATTAAAGTCTTAGGCATTCACAAACGGGAAGCTGAAGACAGGCACCTCGAGGATCTCGGAATGACAAAACTGTTCCATCGTAACGGTTTCATCTTTCTTCCGCGAAGCCGTCCAATCGAGAGTGCTTGTGAGGTCCTCAAGTTTACTAATCCGGGCATCGACCAATCAGAACTGTCGACCTCCCACGGCGATCCCATCGACCATGAGGACCTGTTAGCTCACACACCCCCTGCGTATGTACCTCTCCCGCTACTCATTCCGCTAATCTGATCATTTAACCTTTTGTGCTTTTACAAGTTCACGCAGCCTGTACTGACCAACAATCCCCATTGGTTAGACACGACTTTTTGCAGAGACAGCCGTCTAATAAACGGCTGTCTCCGTTATGGTTTGAGACCACATACAAGGGTTTTCAACAGTACGTGGGTGGGGTGATGTTTGAAGGAATCTGCTTGTAGTTGCTCAAAAAACCATACTAGGTGTAAGTACCCCGAATTCGTGATTTTTATTGGAGGCTTTGATTCCTATACTCATGGATTTGACAGGGAAACTGTAGAGCGAAAACCAGTGAAACTTTATTAAGGTCTAATGCGGCCGAATGAATTTACTTGAGCTTGTACTTCAACTACGGTTATTGATTTGTGGTGCATTTGGATCAAAGCAGGACTAGTTTGTTCGACCGAGGACACGAGCATGCGTCTGTCGCTTCCGTTGGATTTGCGCAATCAAGCTATTCCGTGGGATACAACTTTAAGAAAAATTGACGAATTTCGCCAGCCTGATCCCAGTCGCATTAAGTGCACTCAGTAATCATGGGGAAGTTTTGGTGACACTCCCCGTAAGCCGCCTAATCTGCGGTGACCGACGGGGGTTTGGGGATGTAGGGGTCATTGGAGGGTGGGGGTGGTGGTGGCGGTGGCAGCAGTCATCTCCGATTAGCATTTATCAGGTGCGCATGACCACTCTACAACCTTGGTCTTTTTTAAATTCGCTTTGATTTTTTTTATTTTTAGAGTGCTACGGTATTCACGCACACGGCCAACATTTGTGAAGACATCTTCCCGCAAGGTTTTCAATAATTATAAAAGCGATATTTTGATCCTTAAGTTGAAATTCTAGAAACCACCCAGGCATGAGGCGTCGTGGAAGGGACTTGTAAAAAAGACATTTCACATTTCTATTGTTCGTGAATGCGTTGTTCGTGCGAGTACCAGGGGCAGGATGACTCACGGTAACTCATTAGAGCATGAATCACTTGACGCGCTATCATAGGGCCCTAATTAAATACCAAAGCAGATTTTTGCACAAAATTAATTTGCACCGCAGCAGAATGTGCGTTCCGTCATGGCCAACGCGGGTGTAGGTCTGAGTTTTCCCTCACAAGTGCCTGATTAATGTTAACACACACCGCTGGCGGGAGCGGCCTTGCTGAAAACCGACGTAGATGGGACTTCAAAAGAAAGTTCCTATCATAGCGGACATGGTAAACCGCTGAGATCAAAATTTAATGCAGATGGACAGATTTGTGTGTCGGCTATTCGACCAAGAATGGTACCCCAGTGGAAGAAGATGTGAGTTTCAGTTTTTTTAGCGCCTACTTTATTCTGCTCTTGTTTGAAAAGAACGTTCCGTTAAGAAACACATGAGGACCATGGCTTTAGCATATTCTAACTAAAAAAATGCTAGTCTCATGTTCGATGTATGTCTTGGTAGGCTGAGGATGCGGGAGGTACTCTTTATTTGCCAATTCTTCGAGTTTTGTTAGGGAGTATATAGAGCACTGAAACTTCCTGATGCTAATTTATCATTTCAGACAAACTTCCACGCAATGGTTTAATTTGATTTTGCAGAAAATTTTACTTAGAGACGCAATTTGTCGGCATGGTTATTTAGCATGATAATTAACGCATGCGCTTAGTCCACGAGTAATTGAGCATGAACAAGAATGCATTTGCCAGAAAAAGAAAGTCATAAACGGGGCGAAAGCTCCTCAGCTGACGGATTTCTATTGAGTTTGTGGTACTTAGCTCTAGCGGCGGTAATTGGTAGATAACAATAGCATTTTGTTTTACTTATAATCAAAGCAGGAGGTTAAAAAGCTAGGCAATTGTGGATAAACATGAGTAAGGAGAAATAAATATGTTGAAGTTTGATTAAATAAGCAGCGTCAGAACATATATAATTTCTAATAATGGAAAAAACATAAATATACCATCATAATAACACTTTGCAGGCTTCCACTTGGCCGTTAGTCAACACCATCGTAACTGATTAAGTTACGAGAGCGAAGTAGAATTGGTTTAGTGACGGCAGAATAACTAGCACGCGTTTATACAGATTTTATAATTGTAACAAAAAGTGCATGCCAAAAACACAAGGGGCCGAAAGAATCGTAAGGGACAAATAATGGTAATTATGAAATATTGCAGAAGAAATTAGCTTACGATAGGGGTAATCCATGATCAATAGAGCCTGTCCACTCACAATAGAAGGTTACATGTTGCAAGCAGGTTGCAATAAATAGGTGGGTAGATAGGACTACGAGGACAGCTGAAAATGGAACAATTTCACAAGTGTATTAAGCTGTTCCTTTATAATTAGGCTAAAATATAGTTCGTACAATCAATTTCATTCATTACAAATACCCGGCTTCAGTCTCCAAATAAGGCTAAGAACATATTGCTGAAGTGGTCACTAATCACCGCATCCCACTAAAAATATAAATTTACGATTCTTCTTAGCATTGCCTAAACAAAACTGATTGTGAATGACCAAGACGCAGACATATAATAAATGTAAATATTTTAAATTTAGAAAGTGATCCAAAATGCAAATAGGGCATTAACTTTAGTGTCATGATAAAGCAACCACATTTTTTATATACCATACATTTGTTGAGGGCTACAAAGAAAATACGATACTCTGAAAAGCTCAAAAAGGAAAGAAATCATGACACCAAAAAAGTATTAATGCTCAATAAGTAAGAAGTTTATAATAAATAATCAGTAACATTTTAGCTAGAGATTATAACTGCTAGTGGGCAAGCGTAATTTGCCTAAGTTAGCGTGTAGCGAGGAGTCGCATTGCACAGTGCCTTCTTGATTCGCATCCACACTGACGTTAGGTTTTGCGTTAACTAGGAGAGGCTGGGTCTTTTATTCACCTTATTGCTAAACCATAGCCAATATAACATGTTCAAAAAATCAGGTCTAACTAATTTTCTATCACAAATTTCCATTTTTTGGATTAGAAATTTCGACGTCGAGCTTCTTCGCAATACACGAGAATTGCGATGAGTAACTGCAGTGCAACGATTAAATTATACACTGTTAGTCTTTTTTGAAAAAGGTTACAACATCATTCTACTAATATAGAAAAAATATTAATGGGGGCAACCACTGTAAGTACCCAAGATACATTTAGGAATGCTGTGGTAATAAATCAGGGCTCAGTATTGTAAGAAAATGCAATTTATGTTATATAACAAGATACAAAAAATCAGAAGACCATGTTTAAAATTTCAAATTGTACTCAAAAAACCATGAAAAGTACCAAAAAGCTTTCGTAAGAAATGGCACGAATAATTACGCACAAAAACAGCTGCTATACATAAGACCGAAAATTGTTGCACTTACAAACCACGTCAATACTAAGCATCTCTCATTTGTATCTTTGTCTAAAGAACTCCTGTCTCTTTTCGCAAAAGTCCTCGACACGTATTTACGCCGCAAATTTCAATTATTGAGACAAGCGTCCCATAATTTTCTCAAGGCTGTTTTAGTTCACATAAACAAAACCACGACATTTTCCAAGTAACACTAAAAATGCGTCAAACAAATATTCTGAAACATTACGCGTTTAGAAAAACAACCATAAGCGTTCCTTAAACATTAAAATGAGAAACGAATGCATACTTGATTTAGCTTTAAGTTAAAAAGATAATTTTTTGAATTACAACTTACTCATATTTCATCCATTTATGTCTGCTGAGTTCGCTTGACCATTAAAGTTAAGAAAAATTACATAAAGTTAGTTTCCTTTTCAACAAAAACCATTTTATTGAAGCCATGAATTTAGCAGTGTGAGCAGCATTGGTTACATATAAGGTGTATCGAGCATAAGAATTTTTATCCAATTAGACTGCCAGCAAGCCAAAATGCGTGACCGATATGCATGATTCGAAGGGTAGATAATCTAAACGTTTTATCTAGACCGTTAAATAACTCCGTAAATCTAGAACCGGGACACATAAACATAGGTCAAGGATAAAAATTAATTGCAATTTCACATTTTTGAGGAACTTGTAGCAGCCCATCCTTTAAATTAGCTTGCTGTTTTTTTTATAACATATGCCAAATGCAAACCATTTTTTTATTTTAGGCAAAAGTGACCAATTAAAATATTAGATGCATGTTTCGACAGCAATTTTAGGCCCTAGTAAATGCCGAAATTTATGCGTTATAAAAATTCATTTTAATAAACATCTTCATTGCAGCGAAACTATGGTTTAAAAATGATTTTTAGGCATGTTTACTAATTATGACCCGAATGTTAGTAGATGGGTGCACGTTTTCTCATTGTGCTACTTCGATTTGTCTTGGATTTTTTGGTCATTTTCATCATTGCTGTTTGATAATTCCAGCAGTGTAATTGAAAAACTAAAACTTATGTTGATCTTAATCATTAAATGACTTAAGATACTCTCATTTTCTTGCCTCATTATTCCATCAAAATTGAAAATTTCCATAAATGACCTTTTTAAATTTTGTACGATTCTGATTGGCTGGCTCCTTTTTAACAGAACTAGTGGTAGTTCGTGGGGTTTGGTCGCAGTCTTTAGTTTCGTGTAGCTTTGTGTAAGGGATGATCGCCGTCCTCGCTTTATTCTGTATACTGCCTTACATCCGTGCTGCGGGTATGGAACCTTTGTTTCACTTTCTTACTTGTTTTTAATTTGTTTGTATTGTGGTGCTGTTCGCTAACTTATGTGCCTTGGTGTGCTTGGGTGAAATTTCGGTTGTAGAGGTGCCTTATCCACAAATCAAATAAGGCATATAAGTTTAAACATCCTTGATTTCGCAAAACTTCTAGATGCTTCATAAAACTCTAGGTCTTTTATCTTTTTGCTCAGGTTTGTTACTTCAGTAATAACTCCGGTTTAAAATACTGCGGTACTTTATATGCTGCCATTTCCTGCAAGCAATCGTAGTATACCTCGACTTCTTTTTAACACTACGAGTTTGCTTGAATGTTTCTGTATATAATTATATATCTTGAAATTGAAACTGGTACTCCTGGCGTGTTGAACGTGCCTTAACACGCATCAATCATCTGATTTTCATTGGGACTATTTTTCTATCTTAGATCCTCCTCCTTGTAATGAAAAAGTCAATGTTAAGCCAAGTATGATGTCTAAAGGCGGCGTGCCCTTCCAAAAGCTGATTGTCGACAGTTCTACTCCCATTGAAATTCGGTTTCCTGTGGACCACCAAGTAGAAATTGATGAAGTCAAGTGGACGCTGAATAGTAATCCCATTGACGTAGACCAAGACGAAACCAAATCTGCTGTTTATTGGAAGCATGATGCGTCCGATATCGTACTCGTTATTGGACATCCAAGTAAGCGAGTATTCCGAATTTGCAATTTATTTCGAAATTGCACTGAGGCAAAGTTTTAATTGAGGTCTACCCGACTCCGTGTCGAACATACTTTATCCCTTTATTCAGCTCTCCTTTTTGTACGTTCACACTTTCCATTCAAATTTGATCTAAATTATCTGTTTCCAGTCGCCCCCATCTCAATTGTCTTCGCTGTGGTATTGTGCTGATGTAGACACTAATTGTCTACTAAGTAACTCGCATTCCGTAATATCGACTCATTTTTGTATCTCTCAAAAGCGCGTTTAGGGTGCTCGACACTCAAAAGCAGTCATGCAATTGTTATTGTGGTTATTCTTCTGTCCCTATGTTAGTGGTGTAAATGCCAGATTATGCTTCATTGAAAGCTTTTTCACCATAAACTGTCTCAATTGAAACAAGTCATAAACTATGAAAACACCTTTTCTGGCTTTCGCTTAATTTTAAGTGTTAACTTTTCCCGTCATAGTGTAGTCACTTTAAACAATGATGATTTTATCCCAAATTAACATGTAATTCTTTGTGAATAGCGAAATTGCACTGTTGTAGGCCCCAGCATGTGGTCTTGAACCACGCCGGGGCGACGGAATTAACCCTGGCCCGATTACGCTTGCCTGATGCCTGCGATGAAGGAAAAGGCTGGATAGGAGGTGGACACAACCGTTTACTTCAGAGCTCGATCGAAACTGGTGTCGTTGTGCCGTGTGTGGTGTTTGCGCGTGTGTATTTATAGCTTAGATGTTTGAGTCATACATGCGCTAACATCGAGACGTAGGTGAGGGGACACTCCAAGATAAATATTCGGGCTAATAAAGGGGGGATTTGAGGATTCGAGCGGCTGGCGACATGCTGCGACAAAGGGAACCCTGTGTAGCAGGTGGAGCGACCGGATTAAGGGGTTGAATAAACAGGATTCACGACAGCACTATGGGCCAATAAGCAGACAAGGCACTCGCTGTTTTTACCTGCCTATTACTACGACTTTTGGCCTGATTAATTAATGCAACGCCAATCCGTACATGTTCAAACAACGGTCAGATGTGGTAATACAAGACACAGATATTGTTTGAACAGTCATAGTTTTCAGAATAACGAGTGGCTACATCAGTGAGCACCTTCCAGTAAGTTATTAAGCCAGTCGTTTTCTTTATTAAACTATTACCATTTTTACTAGTGTGAAGTCGGTGGCGAAATCACTGAAGAAAGTGTTTAAAGAAATACCTAAATCAGCCAAAATTGTTGATAAATGGTTTGGTGGACGTCTTGAGCTGATTGCGGAAAACGTAGAAGCAGGCCGGGAAAGTACCAAGAAACCTGAACCTTGTGTTTCGACGGTTCAACTGGTACAAAAACACTGCAGTTTCCTCACGTGGACTGTACTTGTGGCCTAAGAATGCTTCAATATCGTGCGAAAATGTGAAGGACATGTGCGATCCAAAAACGGAGCAACACTGCTATGACTGCTGTCGGTCACCCATCCCTACAAATTGATTCTCCGCTGCCTTTACTTACATCTCGTTGATCTCAATTTGTGCGATCAAAGAACGATTAGCTTGTCTGCTTGTTCCGTTTCCCGTGGACCGTGATCTTTTCATTTTTTAGAGCAAATTTACATCGGCAATTGGCAGATGGAGCTGACTACCAAATCCGACCAAAAAACCACCAGTGCTTGCCAACTGCAATGTAAGTATCTCTTCTGCCTGTTGTTATACACAGTCTAAATGAGCGTAACGTGTGCAGGGGACAATTTAATTAAGTCAGTTTGGTAAAATGGTGTTAGAAGCTGTCGGACCAATCAGGTGTTGCTGTTTTGGTTGGTTGGTTGGTTGGTTGTTGAGCCGTTTGTTGTTAAGGGATGGACATTTTAGCGTAAAACGTGTCTGTGTCTGGTTTCTTATGGTTAATGCCCCCAGTCTAAAGCTGCATTAGATATTTTGTGACTAAGTACCGCATTAACACCTTCTAGCCAGGCACTTCTGTCCCACCGTGAATAAGATCCCGTCAAGTGTAAATAAAGAACGGCAGAAAGGTTTCGTTTGAGACAGCATTATCTCGCACCATTTTTGCTTATCCCTGGGAAACCGGAGCAATTTTGATATTTGATGTTACTCTGACTCCCCGGAGGTGGTTTGGGTGTCGTAGTTGAACGCTTGTCTATTTGGCTGTTTTACTGCTGCTACCACCAGAGTCCAAGTTTACGCACCACGCAGCGTCCCTTACTTCTGTTTAACCTCTAGCCCCGCCGATGGTCCAACGCTTTATAGAGTCGTTCCGTACTACCGAGGGCTACGAGATGGTGGTTGTTTGCAAAAGCGGCAGTCTCCCGTACCCCAGCAGGGTCCAGTGGTACCGCGCGGAGGGCACTGGCGACTCTGTCAATCTCGTTCCGATCCCGGTTAGTTCCTTGTCCGTGATGGCGAATCGGGCTGCGTGATTTGCGACCCCCCTGCACAGCGCGTTGCCCTCCTCTAACCACCGCAGATTCCGCGCGCGATTTTTTAAAATAACATAATCCGTACTAGCGAATTGTCGACATTCGTGCACCGTCTTGTCAATCTTGAACGTCCACACACCAACCCCGTCCTCCTCCTCCTCTATTTGCTTACCTCTTTCCCCTTTTCCCGCTTATTTAGAGCTCTAATCAGACGCACATTCCGGGTGACACGTTGGTCTTCAAAGAAGCCAAAATGAGCGACTCTGGGGTCTACGTGTGCAACACCACTGTTGGAGTCAACGGACTCTTTGACTCGTCTGCGGTCGAGGTCAAAATCAAGAGTAAGCTTCTCCGTTTGTCTCGCATCGCTGTGTGTGTATGTGTGTCGGGCGTGTATGTTGTCGGGGCGTGTGCAACGAGGCAACGGTGTGTGTGTGTGTAGATGTCTGAGTGTTACTGGCATTTTACCAACACGCAGATCCCTTGCTGAAAGCTAGAACCGACCTTCCCAGGCTAATGCAAGAACAAGACCAGACCTCGCGTAGAGAGATTTATTCACGTCAGCCACGTGCAGAGTGGGTTGTCAAAAGTGAAACTAATTCAAGTCAGAGTTGACCTTGACTTGATAAAAAGCGTAACAGAACAAATGTTAGTGAATTACTGTAAATAGCATCAGAAACCAATCTTGGGGAATCGTGGATCCCAAACACGCAGACACTGAAAGCCGGACTGTATTCGCTGCAGTGTTGTTCACTGTCATAACACCCCTACTAATTATTCACAGCGCCTCTGGTTGGTGCACAGTCGCTGGACTCACCCTCATCACACCAGTGTGCGATGAGGTGCGGTGCTAATCTCAGGGCAGCACACAGCGACGCACACGTTAAGGCCGCGTTTGATTGCTTGCGGTCAAAGCGCCCTGGTTATTCTACTGCAACTCGATTCCTGGTTTGTCGATTCACCAATTTCTGGCCTCTTGTTTGTTGTCAGCCTCAGGGACCTAAACACGTCCTCAAGTCGAAAATGTCAGGCCCACCTCAGATCACTCTCCTGTGTGTGGTCCCCTTCTCACTACCACACTTATTCATGATGCAATGTGCACCTTGTACCCTTCCACTTGAACAAGTTGGAATGGCATTAACAGCATCACATGGAGTAAATTTGTAGCCTGGCACGCGAACCTCCAAGTCATTAGTGAGGGGTCGGCTGGACCGCAGTGATCAATGTGAAAACACCAAGAACCGTGTGAAAATGAGGGAGACAGAGGTGTCACTGCGTATCCGTTGTCTTCAGGTC